GCGCGTCCAAGGGTCGTCCGGGCCCGGGGAGCGGCTTTTTGCAGGGCTTCCCGATCTCGCCCCAAGAACTGGAAAGAGAGCAACGTGTGCCAAAGGGCTACACGGGACGGGCCAACTTGCTTGGGAAAATTTAAGTAATAAGGCAAACCGTTACTACAACATGAGCGTCCAGCTACCAAAGGGACAGGTTTCCTTTCCCGGCTCCAGCGCCGAAGGCTCAGGAACGGGTCTTTCTCGGGGAATGAAACACAAGTCCCGGACGGGAGGAGGCCGAGCCCCTGGGTTGTGGGAGCAGGAGCAGGGGCCCTGGCTGGGTTGACTGTGGTTAAGAGCCGTTATCCAGCAAAGTTTACACCGCCGCTCCCACAAAAGCTGCCGGCGACTGCTCCAAGGCCCCGCGCGCCTGTCGCCCCGGGGTTAGACCGCAGCGGCGCGCTCCGCCCCCCGTACTCCCGCCCCGCCCTGTCCCGCTTTCCCCGCTCGTGCTCTGTCCTTAAAACCCGGGGAAGCGGGTGATGCGTGCCGTCTCCGGAGTGTGCGCAAACCCCAGCCGTGAGAGCCGCCTGTGTAGGCCTGACGGCCGGGAATTGACTGCACTCATCGACCCCGTGCCTCAGTCCCAACGCCAGGAGAAAACCTTGGCTTTGCCAGAGCCCCAGGTATTACGGGGCTCGGCAAAGGAGGTGCCTTTCTCTGTCCCCCTCCCAATCCAAGCACTCTTGTTTCTGACGACGCCGAGACTCGAGTGGGTGCCAGAGCGCCCCAGAGCGGGCAGCAGGGGTCCAGGGAGGGCCTCCAGGTTCCCGACGACCCTCGGGTTCAGCACAGGCCCCGACCCCTTCTTGGAGCTCGCTGTCCTGCGCCGCTGGAGACCGTGCCTCCCCGCAGGTCAGTCTGTCCTCAGGGCCACCTGCCCGCCTCCGTTCAGCTGGGTTCTTGCAGGTCAGGTGGGGTGGTTTAAAGGAAACCAGGAGCCACCGCCTAACGCCTGTGCTGTCCTCCCTGAATCAAGGGACCGTTATGGGCTGGAGGCGCAGAGGCTGTGCTGAATCAGAGGCAGAAGCACGCCCCTTCCCTTCTGCCCACAGAGTTCGGGTCAGTTTATGGGTAGGGACATCTTCGGCCACCTCTCCAGAGCCATCCTGACCCGACCCACACAAGCTTCCTGTCCACCTAAGGGCGCTGCGGCTGGGGTCTGGACGTGGGGAGCTCGGTCCTTTCTCAGCACACCTGAGTGTCCCGCTTCTGCCTTTCTGTCCCCAGCATGGCTTTCGGCCCAGACGATCCGCTGCAGCCGGGCCCGCTGTCCATCCAGCAGACCGCGCTCCTGCTGCTCCTCTCCGTGCTGGCCGCCGTGCACTTGGGTCAGTGGCTGCTGAGGCAG